CTGGAAAAAGTACTGCTTCCTGCTCAGTTTGGTTACCGAGTTAAAAAGGCTGCCAATTGTACACCAAACTAAACTTCCAACTGCGAGCAAACAAAACCCAGGCGTTCTCTAAAGCTAAATTTGAAATATTTCTGTCGTACGTGGGTATAGAATATACTCGTGAAATTTCAGCTTTTTAGCTTAACTGATATGCTAAACCATTTTTCGTTATAAAATGTTTTTGACGTGTCTAAACATGTGATACTGGTGTGCATCAAAGCTCGTTTGACGTTTACATATGGAAAGCAAATATTTTCATAAAGTAAGAATGCTCCAGTTAGCTTAGTTGCTGAGTTGGTATTTTGCCAACGATGTCTCAATCTCAAATTTGGTGTGCATACATATGAAGTAAGTGTGCGTTAATGCTGAATTTGAAATCTTTAGCTCACACAAAGACTTAGAATATTCTTGTGAAAGTTCAGCTTTCTATTTTGTCTAGTTCCCGAAATTGCTTTTTCTTCAAAAAATTTGCATGAATTCTTTTAGTTTCTGTACATGTACATGAACGTTGTTTTTAAGCCTTTTTGATCGCACTTGGACTACGAACATCTTTATAAAATTCCAGCTTTCTAGCTTCTGCAGTTGCTAAGTTGAAAGTGGATGACAAAGATCCGAATATACACTTACACATACATCTATAACTTTCGACAGTGTCATTTTTGCATTTGAATAAAAATGCAAGAACGCATAAAAATCATTTGTCATTGCGCATTCGAGCGTTCGAAGGGCTGATAAATTAAGTAAGCCAATGTCCTGTACGTTGTTGTTGCACTAGGTCGGTCTCGTTTACCCTCGGTGGCCCAAGACGGTTTTGCTCTTTCCCATTGGGCCGGGCTTATCAGCAGAATGTTCTTTACGGATGATTGAAACTTGCCTTGTCCTTGCCAGCCAGTTTCTTTTTTATATTTGCACTTTTTTAAACTTTGTTTATCATTTCTCTGCACCGCATAAATCAAAAGCATATCATGGCAAAGCTGCTCTATATGTGTGTATTTATATGTGTGGGTGTGTGCATGCATCTGCGTCTGTTTTGTGCGTGTGTGTTCGAATGAATCATTACCGGAACTAACGAAACTAAAAGCGCTCAGATTTCTTGAAAAGCATTTATGAGAACACAAACGCAAAATTGATTTTCGCATCTTTCAGTTCTCTGTGATGTCAAAACCTGAATATGTTTATAATTCGTAAACGAAGATTCAAAATTTATGGGTTCAAAATTTTCAACTTTTAATTCTCATTACTGTTTGCTGTGAACAAATGCATTTAGCTTTTGAATATCACTTCTTCTTGATCTAGGATTTCAAATCAAATGAAGATCAATATTATGGTTGTCGAATTTATTGATTATTTTCTTTGTTTATTAATCATTTCACTCTACAAAGTAATTTTTTTCATTATTTTTTAGTATTTACATTTGTCAGTATTTTTGATTTTGCTGTTAGGGTAATGAAATTGATACTGTACATTCGAATTGTTCGTTTTCCTCTTTCATTATTATTACTGTATTTGTCTTTTAGCTTAATACAATTTAATAACTAATAATATTCTTGGGTAAATTACAGTTTTAGGTAATCTACAAGTATAAAATTTCGCAGGTAATTCCCCGGCTCGGGATGTATTTTTGCAGTTCGATTTGCTCGAAATCATGACCAGTTAGATACATACATTAAAATTTACATCACGGCAGCATGAAGTAGGTTACGAATCGAAATTTTAGTGCTTCATAACCACCCGACGAGTTAAAAATCCTCACAACCGATACCCACCACCATGCGTACGTAATTGCACGTGCACACACATGACACATGACTGCGCTAGAATCCTAGTACGACTCCCCGTCCGGGACTGCAAGAAGAGGGAAATCGGTGAATAGCTACCGGAGGAGGCAGTGCCACATAGCAGCGATGTATAGGGTTTTGTTACAGGGTGGCACTGATCGTGCCTTGCACTGTCCGGGGTTGGGTACAGCAGTGTTGTGCATGATCCTCTCTCAGCCGCAGAAATATTTTCCGATTTCTTGTATTCATAAGTGCGTTATGAAGTTTCGTGGGATTTTTCATGAATTCTTTTCCCAATTTCTCACAGTAGAACTAAATCTTATACATTTATGCTGAAAAACTCATTATAGTTAGCATGATATACGTATGTATCATGTCACCATATAATATATATGTTGCTGTATATTATATATATGTATATTTGTGCGTTTATTACATGGCAACATATGCATTATATAGTAATATATATTTCTTCACTATATGTATATATATGTTGTATCAGAAATTATAAAAAGATGTCGGACTTACCTCATGCAGTCTTTCAAGCACAAAACGTACACAGCAACATTAACTGCCATGGATAATTTCCATTTTATGTACACTAAAATATTTTGTTGAAGGTGGTCTACTAAACGACAAAAGATGCACCTGGGCTTATTTCATGTGTGATACTTTCAGACCACACTGATCTGTCTTTTCGCCGAGGATGACTGACTTCATTAAAAATTTTCTCGATCTGTTTATTTTGCAGTTTATTTTTTTGTGATCGCTGTGTGAGCGGATGCAGTAGTGATCACAGTGCTATTTCGAGCACTTTCATCAGACAGTAGGAATCAACCTGCTGAAACGAATTTCCTCCCCAAAACAGATATTTTTCATGGTCATGTCTCTTCAGATGCATTACCTCATTCACAGATACTATAAAAATTCGCAAATGATCGCAATAAACCATCATAATACTTTCGGAAGGTAGAGGGCACGTTGACGCAAATGTTACTGCTCGAGATTAGGGGGAAGTCGGGGTGCATGATGGTATATTTCCAGGACTTAACTTGGTACGAGAAACAGCGATATAGCTGAAATA